TTCAATCCCATCAAGGTGGCATGTACCAATGCCATCTCACTAGTCCAAGTGATCAATTTCTGTTCACAACTGATCATAATGAAAGGACTAAGAACCAAAGGGATCACATAAACAAGACTAGTGTCTGCAAATACTAGCTGATAGAATAAAAAAGGGAGAGAACGATCCAACATGGGAAGTGAGATACACAGCAGACTCATAGAATGGCAGATGTCCTAAACAGCACTCTGGCCTCAGAATCAGTCCTTAAGGCATGTGGATCCGGCTGAAAAGCCCATGAGAGTATTTCAGGCATGGAAAGCCAAGACATTCTGGGGGGAAAAAAAAAAAAACTAAATGAAAGATCTCTGTGAGTGAGATCCCAGTGGAAAGAATGGGTCATCAAAGAAGGAGGTACCTTTTTCTGAAGGGAGGAGAGAACTTCCACTTTGACTATGACCTTGTCTAAATATGATAAGAGTCGATGAACTCAAAAGGCTTCCATAGCCTTGGAAATTCATGACTGGAGCCTAGGGTGATTACTGATGCCATAAACAGGAGTGTCAATTTGTTAAGTCAACAACAGGAGTCACTGTGCACTTACTCCTCATGTAGGATCTCTGTCCTTAATGTGTTGTACATTGTGATTTAATGCTATAACTAGTACTCAAACAGTATTTTTCACTTCGTGTTTCTATGCGGGTGCAAACTGTTGAAATCTTTACTTAATATATGCTAAACTGATCTTCTGTATATAAAGAGAATTGAAAATGAACCTTGATGTGAATGGAAGGGGGAAAGGAGAGGGAAAGGGGAGGGTTGCGGGTGGGAGGGAAGTTATGGGGGGGGGGCATTGCAATCCATAAGCTGTACTTTGGAAATTTATATTCATTAAATAAAAGTTAAAAAAAAAAAAGAATCCCTTGTTTTGCCAACAGGACCACACATTATTGCTCACGGAAGTTAAAATCTAATATGATAGCCAGACATTAAACAAATTATTAAATACAATTATGTTGAGCACTTTTGAAAGAGAAAATTAGGTACTATGAAAATGGCAAACTAGTCTGAGAGTCAGAAAACACATTTGATCCAAGAGATGAAAAATAAACAAGCTGGGAGGCAGATTATATACATTCTTGGCAAAGAGAAGAATATTCGTTAAAACAATCTGCTAGCAACATTTGACAGTATTGTCCAATTCTTCTTCTTTGAATTGCTTTTTTCATTTGGTTTTTAGTCATTTTACTAATTACTACTTCTCCTATTCACATGCTATTTTTTCATATTTCTGCAAATCCAAATGTTGGATTATTCCAGGACTCAGTATTTGGAGATCTTTTTTTTATTTAACCATTTATTTCATAATCAATCGTAATATTTGACTTTGCATTGAGAATTTGCTTTCAGATATTGTTAAATACTTTACCAGAGTTAGATATCACATTGGAAAAACTTATTATGTAACTGTTCTAATTAAAAAATATCAGTGGCCAAAAAACTCCCCATATACTCAATCTAATATTGATCACAACATATCTCAACATAGTAAAGGCCATAAATATTAGGATCACTCTAAAATGTGTACCTCCAGTCTGGGATTTCTTTAAAATGCAGATTCCTGTTTCCAACTACCTAGAAGACATCTACACTTAAATGTCTAATTGGCATCTCAAAGTAGTATGTTGCAGCTGAGTTCGTTAACACTGCTCTCCCACCTTCATCCCTAAACCTGCTTGTTCTAGAGTTTTCACCTTATTTAATGCCAATTCTACCCTTCAGTATCCTCAGAACAAAAACCTTTCAGTCATCCTTGATTCAATACATGCTGTTGTTTCAACCTTCAGGACTGGATCATTTCTCTCTACTCCTACCATTACTATTCTGGTCAAAGCCATTATTGTTTCCCATCTTATTTATTACCATAGGTTCCTAACATGTCTTCTTTGTTACCCGTATTCACCATATTAAATTCCCACCTATCAGAGATATTGTAATAATGTAAATCATATTAATATTTTGCAGGAACATAGGCAGCTAGGGAAAGGAGCCAAGATCTGATGGCCCCCACTAAACCACTACAGAACAGCTCCAAACAATGCAAGCAGCAGCACAAGTCCCTGATTGACAAATCCAGAAACTCCACAGTTTGATTGCTGTGGCTGACCTCTGTAACAGCTGCAGACACCCATATGCCAGCCAGCACAGTCCACATGAGAGGTGCCCTTCTGTAATCCGTATCCAAACTCTTCTCCCTGTCTGTGCTTATCCCAAGCTTTCCTTTCTGTTCAGTCGAGGCCCCCTTCCAAGCACCACCAAGCCCCATCCCTTTCCTATGTAGTGAAAACCACAAGTTTCACAATGTTGCTATCTTGGAACCGCACTAGCTGGAAGTATCCAACATGGCTCCAGAATGTGTCCCCATATCATAACATTTAGGTCATTATAATGTCATTATAATAAAATTGCCATGGGGCACTCCAATCACCCACCTGATGCCATGAAACTTTCAATATTTCCTAAAAGGGTACAGAAATGGGCAGAGCTTGAGCTCCCACCCCAAACTCTGCCCCCTTTTGAATATTCAATTGGGCTCCACCCCAAACATCACTCGCTATGCATCTGAACGGTATAAAAGGAAAGCCTAATCTTGATGAAAGGGGCTTTTTCTTTGGCTGAGGGCTGTTACACCATTGGATGTATTTCGTAAGTAAGGGGTTTTTCTTTGTTAGAAAGCTTTTTACGTATTGACTATTGATTCATACACTACTTAGTTCTTGAGTTTGCACTTTTGTTTTTCTCTAAATAAATCCTGCTTTCCAATACATTTTTATGCTCCACCTTTAAACTGTTTTCACACATGGAAGGAAGAACCTGCAAAAAGCCTAGCTGGAAGCCCTATACCCCAAAACAATGATTTTACTTAGAATCATCCAATGGCTTCCCACAACATTCACAGTACAAATCTATATAATGCTGTACAAGATCTTTCTTGGCATACCTCCTACCAACAATTCTCCTTCCTCTCCCTTCCTTACCTCTCTGATACATCACCTGCTTATTTTACCCTCATTTCAAAATCCATTTCAGCTGGTTTCCTTGTTGTTCTAACACACTAAAACATACTCCCACTTCAAAGTCTTTATCCCTGACATTCTGACCTCTGCAGATTGAAAGGGAGGGAGGGAGGAGTGAAATAAATTTTACTCAGATACATACCTTGTGTGTCTCCAACATCAGTACCTAACTGAAGTCATAAGAAGGGTTGAGATTTCCTGTGAGATGAGTAGAAAGAGGAGAGAATTATTGGTAGTAGAAGGACACTGCCAAAGAAAAGTTTACAAAGCCAAACTGAAATGAACAAGCAAAGGGACAATAAAGGTGAAACAAATTATGGTACAACAGAAAGCAAGGATAGCAAATGTTTCTAGGCAGTGCCTCAGATAATTTACGGTTTCCAAGAGGGATAGGAAGCTACCACATCCACCTATATACTGTCCATCACCCAATTATAAACACCATCTTGTGATAGTTATAACCTCCGTTCATTGACATATACATAAAATTTTTCTAAGATACTTTTTCCAAAGAAATTTTTTATTTAATGACTACAAATTTCATAAGTACAACTTTAGGAATATAGTGATTCTTCTCACCATACTGGC